TAGATGTGGAACACAATGATGGTTTAAATATGTTATTCATATGCAAAAGCTTGTTGATTGTATTTTCAGGTGAATTCCAGATTGGTTATGACATAAAGCCGTTGAACCCTGAATCCGTCAAGAGTGTTGTTCATTTTGGGGTATTGCAGCACTCATTAACTCATGAAGCAACTGGATATTCTCAGGTCTACAGTCAACTTTATCCTTATGAAGGCCTTCAGAATTATACTTCTGGAATAATCCACCACGTTCGTCTCACAGGTAAATTGATTCTTGTAAATTGTAATTATGTACAACTTTAGTCACCTTAGCGAACTGTGTTCTAAATTATAGGGTTAGAAAAAATGTTGGGTTAGAATTCAAAAACCTTCCAATTTTGCATCTCCATAAAGGTAATACACTATCATAGTATCATGCGGAATGAGAAAGCAAAGGTAGAAACAGCATGAACTTTTATTGTGATGATTCTTACAGCCAATGAGGTATTGGCCTCTTTGTATACTTTGTATCTTTTTGATAAGATTGATCTCTCCTCCTCCTATGTATGTTGTATTCTTACATGTTTATCAATAATGGCCTGGAGTACCATTTATGAGGATAATAAGATCCTTCTTCAATGTTGCAGTATTATAGACTAGAGATAATGTTCCCGGAAAGGACTGATGTGGACAGCATGCCTTTTGAACCATGTTACTTCAGTAGTTATTCTTGATAGCAATTTTGTTTAACCTCCCACCTGTTGGACGTATATATTTTGCCTGGAGTTTATTGTATGAAATCTCCATGTCAGTTTGGTAAATAATTGCTTTCACATTCTGAGCTCTGTCTGGTCTTTTTTCTGTGTAGGGTTGAAACCTAATACATTGTATTACTATCGATGTGGAGATCCCTCGATACCAGCCATGAGCGGCCTTTTCCATTTCAAGACTATGCCAGCTCCTGGACCTCATAGTTATCCTGGAAAAATTGCAATTGTTGGTGACTTGGGTCTTACATATAACACAACAGCCACCATTAGTCACATATCTAGCAATGAACCAGATCTTCTTCTCCTGGTTGGTGATGTGACTTATGCAAACCTGTATCTCACTAATGGAACTGGCTCTGATTGTTATTCCTGCTCTTTTCCAGAAAGCCCCATTCATGAAACATATCAGCCACGTTGGGATTATTGGGCAAGGTGATGCCAACTTCTTTTCCATATTGTCACTATATTGATTGTGGCAGAAATCTTCACACTTCCAGATATCCTCCTTTAGTTGCTGACTTCCTATGAAATGATTCTTCACAGGTTCATGCAGAATTTGATATCTAGGGTTCCGATAATGGTGGTTGAAGGAAATCATGAAATAGAGGAACAAGTTGATCATAAAACTTTTGAAGCATACAGTTCCCGATTTGCTTTTCCATCAGAAGAGAGCGGATCAACATCTACATTCTACTATTCGTTTAATGCCGGGGGAATACATTTCATAATGCTCGGGGCTTATATTGCTTACAATGAATCAGGTACTCTGAGTTCTTTTGGTTATGTGATTTTCTTGCATCAGAAACTGAAAATGTCCATTTCTAACCTTTTCTTTTCAGCTGTTCAATACAAATGGTTGGAGAGAGACTTGGCTAAAGTTGACAGAGATGTGACTCCATGGCTTGTTGTTGCATGGCATCCACCATGGTACACTTCTTACAAAGCTCATTACAGAGAAGCAGAATGCATGAGAGTTGCAATGGAAGACTTGCTCTATTCCTATGGTGTAGATGCAGTCTTCAATGGACACGTAAGTACCATAATGTCACATATAATACACGTTGAACTTATTGGATTAGATTAGTGATCGATTCACTATCCATCACAACTGCCATCATTGAATGATTGCATTTGACGGACTTGAACTTAGGTCTTTGACAGTTGACACAGATATGACAATTAGCTTTGAAATTTGTGTGATAGGATGTTGCAAGCTTTCATTGGGTGCATAGTTCTTTGGCATAGGTAGACATGACTTCCGCCCCCCACCCCCCAGTGAATGTGTCTACACAGTCAAGAATTCAGGATTAAGTGCAAGTGCACTGCTTGCAATTGGGTGTCATCTTGTATCTCTTCTTTGCTTTTGTTTTCCTACAATCACCTGAATTCTGCCACACTGCTGAATAACATTGCTGGATGCAACTTCAGGTACATGCCTATGAGAGATCAAACAGGGTATATAATTATACCCTAGATCCTTGTGCTCCTATTCACATCACAATAGGGGATGGGGGTAATCGAGAGAAGATGGCAGTTGAGCATGCTGATGAGCCTGGAAATTGCCCTGAGCCATCAACGACTCCAGATAAATTCATGGGCGGCTTCTGTGCTGCAAACTTTACATCTGGTCCAGCTGCAGGCAACTTCTGCTGGGATCGTCAGCCAGATTTCAGCGCATACAGAGAGAGTAGCTTTGGCCATGGAATTCTAGAGGTTTCCTTTTCCCTATCCTTATCCTATCTATTCTTGCAGAATTTAAGTTCATGTACCTTTTTTTTTTTTGAATAGTAGTTTATGTACTTAATTACATACATGCAGCACATTCAAGCTTAATAACATCCTTTGTGGTATTTGCAGGTGAAAAATGCAACTTATGCCCTTTGGACTTGGTACAGAAATCAAGATCATGAGAAAGTGGCTGGAGATCAGATTTACATAGTGAGGCAGCCAGATGCCTGCCCTAATCAACGCAGGGTAACTAAAGGATGGTCTGATGCTAGATAAATTACTCAGAAGCAACAGTGGATATTTGTTGGGTGTGTTGTCTAAATTATGCATAAATATATCATGGCTTAGTGGATACATGTCCAACTTCTACATTAAAGGTCGGGTATCAGATATCGGCCTCCTTATATATGGTCCAAGATTAGCCACTGCTCAGAAGTCTCGGGATAGTTATACTGTGGTAGGTTGGAAAAAGAAAAACTCACATGCTGCCACTCAGACCTTAGACTGGTGATAAAATATGCCACCACTTCCATTGGCTATAGGTAGTTTTGTATTGAAAAAAGTCATGGAGTTTTATAATGGTGCAGCTTGTCATTTTTTTTCCCGGTAGTTTACTTCTGGCATTGGCCAATATTGTTGTTGTATCATTAGTGATTTGTTAGAGAGATGTACTTTGTAATATGCTTCTTTTGTACATACGCTATTGAATTTTAATTATAATTTACCTCATTTACAACGTTAAGAATTTTCTCAGATGAACTTGGCTACAATGCTGATCACTGTCTAACTGAAGCTCTATGTAGGTATGTTTTGCTCTATTATCCTCTTACCTCGCGAAGAGGAAAACAGGAGCAGAAATAAGAGAGTTAAATCAACAATTTATTCCTCAATCTTCAAAAGCTCCTAGAGCCTCTTTTCTTTTTTCCAGACTGGTTGTGGAACTTCAATTCCGTCACAAAGTAGAAGTCTGCAAGAATAAATAACCCTCCTGCAGTAAGATATCAGTACTGACAGTACTAACAGTCTAACATGTTCCGTTTAGCCGGGGAGGGGAATTTAAACCAAGATGCTGTGCAGTCTTCAATCTAAAAGCACCAGTCAAAGCCTTCGCCACCTCCACTGAAGCCGTAGCCTTCAACTTCTTCACTTCCATGGCTAACAGCTCCTCCCTTTTAGTCTCCCCACTGTTTGTCTGAATATATCATACAGTCCAATAGACTTCCACAGATAATAGTTGTCTTAACATTTGAATATGCCGCAGAACCTATCCTTGATCGTTTAATCTTGCAAACAACCACCATATCATCTGTAGTTCCGACCAATTATAACCACCTTAATTTACCAACAAGGTTTAATTTAAGACATCATTGTCCTACTCGTAGTTTGCTAATAAGATTAATGCATGCTATAGCTAAATTAGCTCAAGTAAGGTTGCTGATTTAGCTGAAGTAAGATTACTGATTTAGCACAAAAACAAAAACAAAACAAAAAGTTGAGAGTTGACAATTTGATATTGACCCTCACTTTTTATGCATATTGGAGCACGTGCAATTTAATCATAAATTACTAAATTAGTGAAGTGTGAACTCGACCCACTTTAGATTCTTATTTTTTTTGACACGACCCACTTTATAATATATGGTCGTTATGTAGTTATGTTACAGTATACAACTACCAGAGTACTTGGTCGCAAAAATGCTAAAGAAAGTGAATTTTTATAGATAAAGTATCTACACAAAATAATCCTTTATGTTACACACTTACACTTCTTGTCTTCTCCATCCAACGTAACTTGGAAAATGAAGTTCCTTACACAGTTCTCCGTCCAACTTGGAAATTGAAAACCCTTTCTCGTTTATACAAATTTCTGGTGAGACGAACTTCTAAAAACTCTTACTAAAATGACTCACTATGTACTAATTATTTGCGACTAATTTTTCCAAACATCTTGTAGCAAGATGGAATACTTGTGTTCCGAAAGTATGAGTTGATGGAACAAGTTATTAAAAATGTCTTGTAGCGAGATAGAGCACTTGTGTTTTTTATGGAAGAGTAAATTCAGATAAGCTCATTCAAAGTGAGATTTAGGAGTTGGGGCCGTTGGGACTGGGAGTAGAGACCATTGCAATATACAATTGGGAAAGTCAAGACTCCAAGAGTGTGAGATTCCGAGACAAGAAATTATAAACAAATGTTGATTTTCAATGCTTTTGTTTGAGTGCTTGGTAACTACTCATATTAAACATGGGATTAAAAAATTAATCAGCGATTTTTTGGTGTGGTCAGCCACACCATGCAACAAGCTGACACACATTATTAGAACATTGACTAAGCAATCGCTGACCAATCGAATAATAACCCTGCCACACAATTTTTGATCAAGTAACTCCGACCATACCTTGTGGCCAACTACATATAATAATTTGTGTAACATTATTGTGAGTTGTGACTATCAATTATGAAAAAGAGAGCATTGACTTAGACCTTTATATAGGTTTGTGTAAATTGGGACTTGGATCATTGGTAGGAGTACTTTGGAGTGAAGAGCACTGCAAGCTAAAACAGATGTGCATGTCATGCAGAAGTTGAATCTGAACTCTTCATTTAAGTATTTATTTTAACACACCTTTCATACTAGTACACAATTTAAGTCAATCGGTGAGGTTACACTATTAAAATAAAAAACACACTAAAAAAAACTTTTTGGAAAAGAAGAAAAAAAAAAAGACTTTTCTCAATCAAATGTCCTTTTTGTTTAACGCGGTTCAATTTTCAAAAGGAAATTATGGTGGTTGAGAGTGAGTCAACAAAGTTATAATCATGCACTAAAACTCTCACATAGTCCACATGTATAATTTGACTTTCTTTATATATATATAACGCTCCAAAAAAAATCACATTTCAACAACCACAATATTTTCTTCCCAACTTTCAAAAGTTTAGCTAGCTAGGCCACAATGAAGGCAATCCAACACACCATCAACCACCACTTCACAATCACTCGCCGCCTTCCACGCCCGGTTCGTGCTCGACAAGAACTTCTCTTCGACGACACTAACCGGTCGTCTAAGGCGTCTAACCCGGCAACCCGTTTAGCCCAATCACTTACCCATATGTTACATAACCAAATTGAATCCATACACACCCAAAAAACATTAACCCAATCTAATTTTAGCACCATTTTAGAGGACAAAAGTAACACCCCTATATCATTTCCTAAGGATGATATATCAAATAATTGGGAAGAATTTCATGGTGCTAATAATTGGGACGACCTTTTAGACCCTATTAACCCCTCTTTAAGGCAAGAGCTACTCAAATATGGTGAGTTAGCTCAAGCAACATACGATGCTTTCGACTACGATCCATACTCAGAGTATTGTGGTAGTTGTAGGTATAACCGAAACAAGCTCTTTGAAAAGCTCAGCTTAACACGACACGGATATCACGTTACAAAGTACATCTACGCGACTTCTCAAATTGATCTGCCTCGATGGCTAGAGAAGTCTCAAGTAGCCGAGACTTGGAGTACACACTCGAATTGGATGGGGTTTGTCGCGGTTAGTGATGATGAGGAGTCATGCCGTATTGGTAGGAGAGACATTGTTGTGTCATGGCGAGGCACGGTGTCTGCATCCGAGTGGTACGAAGACTTTCAGCGTAATTTGGAGACATTTGGGCACGGTGATGCCAAGGTTGAGGAAGGTTTCCTAAGCATTTACACTACGAAATTTCGATCATCGAGGTATAACAAATCAAGTGCTTCAGAACAAGTGATGCAAGAGTTATCAAAGCTAATAGATTTTTACAAGAAAAGAGGGGAAGAAGTTAGTCTTACAATAACAGGGCATAGTTTAGGTGGTGCCTTGGCTCTGCTCAATGCATACGAGGCTGCTGCAATATTCGTCAATCTTCCTGTTAGTGTCATTTCCTTTGCTGCTCCAAGGATTGGAAACTCGGTCTTCAGAGACGAGCTACACGAGCTAGGAGTGAAGATACTACGCGTTGTTGTCAAACAAGACGTCGTTCCTTGGACTGCAGGAATGGTCTTTAACAATGAGAGCTTACAGAATTTTGATGAGATTACAGGGGGGTTACAGTGGATTCACCCTCATGCTGGTGTTGAGCTGAAGCTGGATGCGAGAGCTTCTCCGTATTTGAAACGAGGGTTGCAGTTGCTTGGACATCATATGCTAGAGACGTACCTGCATTTGTTGGATGGTTATGAAAGTTCTAAAGTGCCTTTTCGGCCTGATGCTACAAGGGATATAGCTTTGGTGAACAAGGAGTGTGATCTGTTGATCAACGAGCTGAGGATACCGCCTCGTTGGTACCAGGTTGCGAATAAGGGTCTGGTTCAGAATGCTTATGGGAGGTGGGTTAAACCTAAGAGGGATCCTGAAGATATACCATCTCCTACTAGTGAATCAGCTAATTGTAATGAAATGCAATCTGTACTTGGTTATTGAATCATAATTATAATTTGTATATACAAGTTCTTGTTAGCACAATCTAAATCTTATCCTACTAAAATCATGAAGCTTAAGGTTTGGGGAAGGGAAGGGGGGGATGGGGATACGATCATACGACACGAGCTATTACCCCGAATGATTAATCAATTGTGCTAGATGAGCATAAAGATCTAATTTCAGGGGAGATTTTTGATATTTTCACATATATAGATGATGTTAACACTTTTACCCATTCGCACATGGTGTTTTATCACTAGGGGGGATACGGGTAGAGGAGCGCGTTCACAAGATCAAAGAAAGGTTAACAAGTAACAACAGCATGAAAGGATAGAGGACCGCTTATCCAACAGAGTATTTTTCGACACAATTACACACGGGACCAATGCAGTCTACTAACTAAGCCGAAAACTAAACATAGTTAATGTTAGAAAAAGAGAGGGGGGTTCACAGACTGATAGTGAACTATCATCATTAATTTTCAACAATGCTTCATGTGATGTTTGTGCATGCATATGCTTTTCTGATTCAGCTTCCACTGATCATTTTCATTATCTATACAAGCAACTCTGAATGCTGATTCAGCTTTTCTGATGATCATGAATGCTGTTTTCTGCAGCACGTATGCTAATTAAATATGTGGGCTAACCACATTGCAAGTACTCAAATTCAAGCAACTATCCAAATCTTGCTACCACAAGTCCACAATGGACATCTTCCACCAAAAGCCGCATAAGGCAAAATCACAAGTTCAGGGAAAAAGGCGACACCAGATCTTCTGTTACTACAGATGATCATGTTTGTAAGAAGATTCCCAGGATTTCGAAGATGCCATACATATCTCCACTTGAATCTTTATTTTAGAGTATTGTCAGTTATGATAAAGCATCACTAACCTTGTTTTGTTTGCCAGACAAGTACCGAAATTTCAGCTGATGCTGATGTTCGCACATCTCAAGTTATTTTAACAGCAAACTGAAACAGATCGTCCACCAAACAGATCACAGACTCATATCAAGGTTTAAAAAAATATAGAAGATAATACTATATTATAAAAGTTTGATCCAGCAATGGACCTTACACATATAGTTCCATAAATCTACTATTGACTAATAAGATACAGTATACATACACAAGCAGATATCATTAACCATGAGATAAAAATCAAGGAAAAAAAATCCTTCCTGATTCTCGAATGGCATTCACAACCCTATGACTGATAAACTTGAGCTGAAGTTGGTTAGACTGTATTCTCTTGACATATTCAGATATTCATCACCAGTTTTCCCATATTATGCAAGAGTCGAGTTTTTACAGGCCAAGAGCATAATAATTGAAGCATTACCCTTAAAAGATATCCAAAATCTCCAAGATGAAATTATTGCAAAGTGGACAGTTCCCCCTTTGAACAAAGAGCTCCCTCGAACATAACCTGCAAAACGTATGGCCACAAGGAATGAACGCTGCACCTTTATGCCTTACCATACACACACAACAAGAAAATTCTCCTTTTCCCACGTCCTGTACTTCCTCTTCCACTTCCACCTCTTCCTCTTCTTCCTCTTCCTCTTCTTCGTCATCCAACCTGTATGTAGGCCCACTGATCCCAGCCTGTCGGTCAGTTTCCTCCAACAAATCCATCAATGACATTCGCAATGGCTGGTTTGCTGGAGGCCCAAGATTAGGAATTCCTCCATCCTCATCCTCATCTTCATTTCCATGAGGGGACACTTCAATTTCCTCATTCTCATTCCTACTTCGATTACCCTCATCCAGCTCCCTTGACAGCCTCCTACGAGTCTGCTCCCTCTCAGCAGCCAAAGCCGCAGACAGCCTGAAACTGCTGCCACCCCTAGGAGACCCACCACTATCAACCTCCCTCAAGGTCAGATCATCAGCTGGAACAGTATCAACTCTCCTGAGCGTACTGCTTCTAAGGGAGTTTCTATTCGCCATCACTTCACCTAACGATGATCTTGAGCTAGGTATCACGTCTGACTGTGGAACCGGCATAGAAGAAGTCCAATTCCTTGAATTCGGATTCTGACTAAAATTCTGATTCCTCTTAAGCTTAAGGCGATCTTTAAAAGACTTCCACGTCTTCTTTCCGTTAGGGGAGCCTCCACCACTTCTAGGGGTTAGGGTCTCGTCGTTACGAATAACCTCAAGGAGGGTTCTGACAACTATATTAGCTGGTGGTGGTGATTTCCTGTCACTATTAAGTACAGCACCCAGCGTGACGTTTGACACCCGCCTTGGGCTAGTATTGCTATTAACTATGGCAGAATTTTGGCTAAATTCGCGGTTAATTGCATCAGATAGATCGGCTGCAATGAAGGTGTCGCGAAGGGTGGAGTGGTGGGACGTCAGTCTCCGAGAAGTAACAGCAGTAGCTACGCCACCACCGTCACTATCCATTTAATCTGTACTTCACATACAATTTTTTACCAACAAAACTTACCATTAAAAACTCAATCATATTCTTACATTACAATCAATTGCATCTCATTTCAATCAAAACATTTCTCATCATAACTAATTTTGCAACATAATCATCATATTCATATTCAATGTTTATAATCATACCCAAAAAAAAATAAAAAAAATAAAAAAAAAATTATAAAGAAAGACAGAAAAACAAGAAATTAAGAATGGGAAACTGCAAAGATTTGTCTTCATAGGAAATCGCGGTTAACATTTGTTTTTTCTGCTTTATATTATTGAGATTCACAATTCTGTTACTACTAATAAACAAATTAGAAACTTCACATTTTCAAATTCTATATACTTTTATTATATATGAATTGATAATATAAAAAAAATATGAATCATTTTCTTATACAAATAGGACAATTTCACCAGAAAAATAATACCTTAATAATTATCTTAAAGCATAGAACAAATTGCAGGAAATTTGAAAAAATAAAATACAATTATAGCTCAAATTAGCTTTAAAAAATAAAAGCTCACCAAATTTTTCATTGGTAAATTGCAGAAAATTAGCTGATAATGTAGCTCAAATTAACGATGAACAAATTGTAAAAGAGCAAAAGATCATCCAGAAAAAATGTCAAAAAAATGAGAATTTTTTTTGATGAAATTCAAAACAGCAACAGTAACGAAAAGAGAGGAGAGAGAAAATGTAAAAATACCTAAATTTGTCCGTTATTTTGGATATCACCGTTTCAGATCTGACCCTATTTTTGTGCAGCTTCAATGGCGCCCAATTTCTGAAATTTCGGAAAATAAAAATTGCCAAAAAAAAAAGGATAATTCCCGAAAAAGAGGAAAATTAAAAGGGGAAATTAAAATTGATAGGAAGAAAATAATGGAGTTAATTTTATATTTTTTGGGGAAAAATCTATGTTGTTAATATTTGTCTTTTGAAGTATCTATTTTTGACTTTTGTTTGGGATTTTATAATTTATAAAAATAAAAAAATGAAAATAATAATAATAGTGGGATGTTATCTGAAAATGTGTGCTCCAAAGTGGTGAAGAGATTTTTTGAGAGGGGACTTTTTAGAGTGGATGATTGAGGAGAGAGAAAATTAAAAATAAATAAGAGCGAGTCTTTCTCGTTTTGTAAGCCTAAAAGGGTCTCAGATTCCCTTCTTTTTGCGCGACATGTCCTTTTGTTAAGAGTTCGTATACTCGATAACATGATGTGCATTATGAATTTTTAAACTGAATTGAAGTGTAGTTAATGTGAAGTGAACAAACCCTTTATATTTGATTATGCGACTAGTTTAAAATAATGAGCATACATAATCTTGTTATCGTAATTTCATATTGTTGTATTATTATATGAGTGTGTGATTGTTCATTCAAAAATAGAGTGCATATTATTCTTTGAAGTGTAGAATTAAAGGGTTGTTTATTAAGGATTTTTTTTTCTTTGTTCTCTTTTCAAAACTTTCTCTTTTTATCTGAAGAAAGAATAATAGAGTTGAACATAAATCGATCTGAGATATGCCACAACTAGAACTATAAAATAAGTGGTTTTATACCTTGAGAATTGACCCAAATGAATTTGTGACTTGATGCCAAAAAATGATTTATTTTATCAAGTTGAGAAGGCAATGCTAATACGTAGTTTTAGAGGCAGAATTCATTGCATAATCTTTCATACTATTACTTCTTAAGATAAATATGTATATCTTCGAATAACTAAACTCGTCGTATAATATTATTGTTACTTAGGGCCTATTCTCATACGTTTATTTTCAGTTCAGTTTAGTTCAATTCAGTTCTTAATTTCCTTCTCTTATAAAATATTCATTTCATTTCAGTTCAGTTTAGTTCAGCTGAGTTCAGTGTATGAGAACAAGCCTTTAATACTTATGTAAATTATCGTACACTATGTATTAATGGTTTAGATTTATGTATTGAGTATTGACACACGTGTGCATGATCAAAATGAGTTTGTTTTTTTTTTCCTTGTAAGACCAAAATATTAAAGTTGAGAAGCACAAAAAGAAATAGAGGGAAATTAGGAAATTGGCATCTCTTGGTCCGCATTATGGATGTGGTACGATTTTCTTGGTTGACCAACTAGGCTCCACAATTATTGGTATGCTGCAAGACTTTATTGATATTTTGGTTCTAATCGTTTTTGCTCCAATGCTAAGTGGCAAGCCTTGTATGAGGCTTTGTTTAGGCGTGTTGCCTTAGCTTCTTTACACAAGGTTGTCCTTTAGTGGTATTTACGTTATTTTTTGCTAATTTTGAGCTCAATTCGGATCCTTAAGATCTAAAATGGCCCCTAAAACCTTAACCCAATATTTTTCAACCTGTAAACCGATGAAAAAGTTAAAACGGGTTGTAATATACAATTTTATAAGAATTTTTGGGCTGCAATTTGCAATTTTTTTTTAAATGGCTGCAATTGCAAAATACAAAGTTTAAATAGTTACAATTGACTAATTTTCCAAAATAAAAACCAAAGTTTAAGAGGTTTGCAGTTTGCACTAAAAAGTGATATTAAAGGGCCAATTAGTATTATGTGCATCTGACCCAATCTGTGCCCAATAGAGGAAGCCC